TTAATGTCCAATTATAAAGGAATTTGTAATGAATGTTTTCAACTAGATGGTAGCCGGTGTCCAATTGTATGCTTCGTGTCACGGGACCCTGAGTAGAGATGTTATAAAAACCCTGGACGATTGCAATAAAGCGGACATATTTGTGATCTTATAGATCTGTGTGTATGTCCGGTGCCTCTCCGTCAAAAACAAACTGCAATGTAAGCTTTAGATGATAAATGACTTTCCTCTTATCATTTGTTTTATGAACAAAAATATCTTTGTTGAAGTCTTACTAAGATGTTTGCTGGTACTGTGGGATAAGGGAAACCCATACTTTTGTGAGGACTGTGGGAGATTGTATTCGTGCTTAATTAGATGCTCTTAATTTTGGTCTGTGTTTTGGCCCAGCCACCTGTGAGATTCTGTTCTTTTCCTGCCAAGTTATGAGAAAACAAGCACTGATAAACAAGAACTTCGTCCTTGAAGGAAGTATCTTATATAAACTGAAATTAATTGGGGCCTCACTATTGTCTGATGGCTCTCCAAGGACATTTGAAGGAGAAAGTGAAGAGGAGGATGATGAAGTAAGACCCCAGACTCATTTAGGAAAGACCACCTGAGGTATAGCACGCAGACGCGAGGAAATTCCAATGTACACACGCATGTGCAGAAGGGGTACCACTTACATAACAGGGGGAGGGACCAAAGACCTCTAGCTGGGCAGTGCTATCCACACCTGCCCAGGCAGACGTCATAGGTTAGTTGTATAAAAAGCAGATAGCTCTTTCTGGGAGTGGAACTTAAGCTTCACATGGAGAACAATCTTGCCTTTTGTGGGGACGCCCGCTATCTTGTGAGCCTGCCGATGCTCCAGGGATGCAGTTTCTGCTATGGGTAATTCTAAGCATTCTGGGGTCAGTAAGACAACCTCGTAACACCTGAGTGAGTGGGGGGTTGTACTGAGGGTTTATTTTTTCCCTTCTCTTTCCTGTCTCTTGGCTTCTCATTTTGTTGGCTACTTCTTTGTAATAAATATTATTTTGTTGAGTTTTCAACGGTGTATCGGTTTCAGTTTCAGCATTCTCCCTGCTACAGAGATCCCAAGCAGGGATGTTAGGAATAGGGGTGGCTTATGGAAAACAAATACTTCTAAAATGATCACTGTGCTGGTTTTGGCTAGGGTTGAGTTGATTTTCTTCACAGTAGCTAGTGATGCCCCAAAAGGCGCATTGAAAACTGCTCAGAGACAGTTTTGAGTCTTTAAGCAGCAAAAGGTATTTATTTTAAGAGCAATGTTGGGGGCTAGCCAACTCGTGCTGGACAAAACTAGCCCAAAGTTATCAGTGTAAAGTCAGGTATTTATACAGTTTTGTGAGAGATTCCATCATTTTTACATGCATATTCATATTATTGTGACATTTCAATATAATATTCATAGCAGGTGGAGTTTGGGCGGAGTCTGGGTGGAGTCGTCCTTTTGGGGTGCTGTTTAGGGAGTCATTCCTGTTTCTTCATCCTCAAGGGGTCTCATTCCAGAAGTCTTCCTCACTTTGAACTTTTCAACTTTCTTAGTTGGCTGTCTTCCCGATGGCGAATTTTGCAAGATTTTGGACTCATGCCCCTATTTCATCCCTTATCTCCTAAGAAACCCTTCCTCATGTCTATTTAGGTATATGTGTTAGCATTTTTGGTGTTCTTTATTTCTCTGTGTTCTTACTTTATGTTCTTTGTGTTAGTGTGTTAGCATTCTTTGGCCAGGTGTTATCTTTCACTAGCCTTGAATTCTGGTTCCTTTAGTTCTTTACCCGGAGCTCACATTCTGAGTTAACTCCTTTAGGGCCCTGCTCTGTTTCACTAGTATGGAACTATGTTTTGGATTTTTGCTGGAAACGGTGTTGATAATTTAGGGATGTTTTAGTCATTGCTGAGCAGTGCTTACACAGCGTCAAGGCCTTTTTTGTTTCTCTCCCCACCTCACCAGTGCTGTGGGTGCCCAAGAAGTTGGGAGGGGACACAGCTGGGATAGCTGACTCCAACTGACCAAAGGGATATTCCATACCATATGATGTCATGCTCAGCATATAAAGCTAGGGGAAGAAGGAGGAAGGGGGAGGAGGTTTGGAGTTATGGCATTTGTCTTCCCAAGTAACCATTATGCGTGATGGAGCCCTGCTTTCTTGGAGATGGCTGAACACCTGCTTGCCCATGGGAAGCAGTGAATGAGTTACTTGCTTTGCTTGTGGGCACAGCTTTTGCTTTCCCTATTAAACTGTCTTTATCTCAACCCACGAGTTGTCTCACTTTTACCCTTCTGATTCTCTCTCCCATTCTGCTGGTGGAGTGAGCAAGCAGCTGCATGGTGCTTAGTTGCCAGCTGGGGTTAAACTATCATAATCACTTTTGAATTAATCCAAAAGTGAGTGTTTTATGAATCTTGATTATTTTAGACAATTAGAAAAGTGCATATCAGAGGGAGAACAAAGCACACAAATGAGATGCAAGTATTTAAAGATTTAAGTTTTGCTTTGTTCAGAGCTTTGAGAATCATCTGCTGTTCAGAAGAAAAGTGGACGAGGGTTATGGGGAACAGATGCAAATTCAGTCACTTTGAATGCAGTGACTGTAATATACTGCCCAACAGTTTTTAGGAGCAATATGATGGACTGCTGGTTCTTGAAAACTTCAGATAACTTGGCCCTATATAGGTGAGGTTTTCATCATGGCTAGGCTTCACGAACAAAGATTTGAGAAGGGCTCTACCCATGCTTGCTACAAACACGCTGATGGCTAAAAAGGCCAATGCGAGATAGACAAGTCCGGTTGCAGAACGCACAGCGGAAAGACTCCCCAGGTGATATCGACGAGACGCGATTCTTTCTGCGTTGTCTTTTCTCCTCGAGAGTGATCCTGCGTGTGTTCTCAAAAGCAGCAGCAGCGTTATAGATGGTGTGTCTCCAGGTCTCCCGATTGGAGGCCAGGGTAGACCAATGGTGGTGATCAATATGGCCAAGGCTGAGGGATTGTTTCAGGGAATCCTTGTATCTCCTCTTCGGGCCTCCTCTCTTGCGGCAGCCAGTGGCAAGTTCCCCACAGAGCACAATCTTAGGGAGGCGGTGGTCCTGCATCTTGGAGACGTGCCCTGCCCAACGCAGCTGAGTTCTCAGCAACATAACCTCAATGCTTGTGACTGCTGCCTGTTCAAGGACAGATGTGTTGGACACGATGGGAGCCTATTCAACCTAAGGCGACTGAAGGCCCACACTAAGACCTTAAATCATCTTGTCCGAGAGCTGCTTTACACTGATGATGCCGCCCTCGTCGCCCACACAGAAGTAGCTCTGCAGCGCTTAACATCCTGCTTTGCAGAGGCTGCTGAGCTTTTTGGGCTGGAAGTCAGCTTGAAGAAAAGAGAAGTTTTATATCAGCCTGCACCTCAGGAAGTCTTCCATCATCCCCATATCACCATTGGTGAAACAGCACTCAAATCAGTCCAACAGTTTAATTACCTGGGAAGCATCATCTCCTCGGACGGTAAGATTGATGCAGAAATAGACAACAGGTTAGCAAAGGTGTACAGAGTTTTTGGTAAACTCCATAAAAGAGTGTGGCAAAACAAACACCTGAAGAAAAGTACTAAGATCAGCGTTTACAGAGTCATCGTACTGTCTACTCTTTTATATGGATCTGAATCATGGGTCATTTACCGGCACCATTTGCGTCTCTTAGAATGCTTCCATCAGCGCTGCCTCCGTACAATCCTAAACATCCACTGGACTGACTATGTGACCAACACATCTGTCCTTGAACAGGCAGCAGTCACGAGCATTGAGGTGAGGTTTCACCTCACTGTACAATTGCACAATTTATTTGTGGATGTGCATCAGCTGTGGTGCTTTGGGAACATGTCAGATAATGTACACATGGCTTTAGTTGGACAACAGCAATGTTGCTCTTTTTTCATAGAATAGATTGGGTTGGAAAAGACCTCCTCTTCATGTGTGTGGCTGTGGTGGCACACTCCAGGGCCCAGGTGAACCTAAAATTTTTTGCTAGGTTAGACAAGTTCTAGGTCTTGCTGTGAACTCTGCATGTGTGCTAACTGAAGGTGCTGCCTTCTAGCTCTGTGCCCTTGCAAGAATACTAACTACATACCAGCTGCATATGTTAGTGTTCAGCTGACAATGTGCTTGTGTGGGAAATCTGGTAAATATTGTCACATGCAGTGTGTGGGGATGAACACCAGTATGTAGCAAGGGACCGAAGACTTGGCTCACCTAGATTTCTATTGAGCTACCTACTGAGGTGTGTCGTGCTTTTGCAATATGAGTCCATGATTACAGGTGCGGTGTGACTGGAGGTGTGACACGGGATGATGGAGGGAGGGAGGGGACAGGCAGGCAGGATAGTACGTGCAGCACTCCTCTGAGAGCAGCTCTTCCTCGCGCCTGGGCCTCAGGGATGGGAACTAAAATTCCCAAGAGCCTTTGCAACAACCCGCGTATGAGAATTCGCGCTTCAAATGTAATGGTGGCCTACCCGACACCGAGGGCTTCTTTTCTGCGGACGGGGGCGTAGCCATTGGCTGAACTACAACTCCTAGCGGCCCTTCAGACATCTCGCGCGTGCGCACGGCCTTAGGCTGGCTGCACTTCGCTGTTGTCGTTGTAGGTGTGGGGGGAAGAGAGCGAGCGAGCACGCGCGGCGGTGTGGAAGGGGGTGAGAGTTGAGAGTTCAGCCGCCGTTGTCGCTGCTAGCTTGCACTCATGATTCCTATATGCCCAGTAGTTTCTTTCACCTATGGTAAGCAGCGGCGCTTGGTGTTTATGGGTGTCCGTGCGTGGGGGGCTGGGCGGGGTGGCGGCGGTGAGGAGATGCAGCCAGCGCGCGGGGCGGGGGAACGGGGGTCCTGAGGCGCCATGCCTGACCTGGCGCTCGCGCGCTTTTTCTGTTTCTTGTCTGTCCCTTTCTCTCCCCGCCTCCTCCTGCCTGGCCCCGACCACCGCCGCCTCTTGGTTATCTTCGCCACAGTGCCCAGCCGGTTGGGAGAAGATGCCAAAATGGCCACCGGTAACTACTTTGGATTCACCCATAGTGGGGCTGCTGCCCAGTATAGGTAACCACCGCGACCCCTCCCTGCCCCGCCCCTCTCTCTGTCCTTGCCCGGAGTCACTTCCCTCTTCGGCTCCGATTTCGTGTTCCTGACCGGAATCTCCCTGCCCCCTCGGGGTGAGTGCTCGGGACTGCTCCCATCCCCCGCCCCGTGCGGGCGTTGCTTCTGCAACCCGCACATTCGGGATGGTTGTGCTTGGGACCCTTCTGCTTATCTGCCCCGTCCGCAGGTGTGTTTTCTTATCCTGGTAAGGACCTCCCTGTATCCCCAGTGGTGTGAGGGTGGGGAGGTGGAGCTGGACACCATGGAGGAGGCAGTATTAGGCCCCAAGGCCCTTAAATTAAAATTGCAGTCAACAACACCAGCAAGTTACCGTCTGCTGTCCCTGGGCCCTTCTCCTTCAGTGAAGATGGGGCTTGCTCTCCAAGTCTTTTCCTCCCTCTATGTCAGTGTGAGAGGATGGAATTCTTTTTAACGTGTTAAAATTACACCAACCCAACCTATGGGAGACTGGATAGATAAGGGAAGAGTAGAAGCACCAGAAAATGCAGGGGACTGTCCCATTCCACTGAAGCAATGTTATAATTAATGTATCAGAAAGGAGAGAAGGTGCTTTCAGAGCCAGGCACCTTTTAAAAAGATCTATTTGGATATCCAAGATCAGGAGCAGGTCTTATTGTGGAGCTCAGGGACCTGTAACCATACATTTTGTATAGATATGCAGTTTTAAACTTTTGTGTCTTTGTACTCGTTGTGCATCCAAATTGTGTATCAGACTGTTAAAAAGTAATTGGTAGCATCTATTGTCTCACTTTTCCGGAAATCAAATTACTTAACTTGGCAAAACCCAGATACAGTCAAAAACATCTTCACACTTTTGGCTTGTGTTGGAGTAGCACCTTGAAGTTCACATTTGAATCTACATTATTTGTTTCATAAGTTTATAATAAAGACCTTCCTTGACTCCTAAGTTTTGGTTAATGGGGAAAATAATAGAATAAAACAAATATGAGGGATTATTAACAAATAAATATAGATGTGTGCTACTGTTAACTAGTTAATCAAAATTGCATACCTGACATAGTTTCAGGAATACACAGTCTTATGGATGTCTTGGAATGACTCCCAATCTATTCTTTTCTGAATATTGCAATACCTTTGTATTTTGTGCTAGTTAGTGGTATTGGGCCTAGGGTTATAATCCCGCATGCAATGCAAGACTGTTACTTATTTAAGTAATAATTAATCCATCTATTTAGAAGCCTGAAATAAATGTGAAATATGGTGATATTAGTCCTCTTTGTGTGTGTGCTCTGACATGAACAACCTAATATTGGCATGTGTAAAAAATATTAGCATTCTTGATTCAGTGCTGAAGAAGAGGCATAGTTATGCTTTCATTTTGAAGCTGTTTGACTGAAATGTGTGGATGCTGATGGAGAGATAGGGACACTGAGAAATGTTTGGACAGAGAAGTGTGCAAATGTGTGGTCTCAACCTTGTATTAAGATTTTGGTTTCTGTTAAGAAGATAAAGAACTGTTGAGCATCTGAGTTTCATCTTACTGATGTTCATACTGTGTACCTGCTCTAAGGAGACAGGTCACAGATGGGAGATTCTTGGGTAGTTAGGAGTGAATTGGTAACTTTGTATTGCTATCAAGTAGTGTGACTATTACTAAGTGTGGTGAGCCTTCACCGGTAAAGGCAATTGTAGCAGTTAGGGTCCAGAGCCAATCACAGTGCCTGTGAGTTTAGATTAAGATGCAGTCTTCTAGGTAGCCATATGGAAGTGAACTCTTGCAATTATAGCTAGTTTTGTATTCAAGTGCAGTGTATGATTTTACCGGATGTTTGAGACCGGTGCAAAACAGCAAAGGAAGGTGGAATGCTGTGGATGGATAAGTTGGCTATTGAGAATTGCTTAGGAGTGGAGTGGTTTTTTTTTCACATTTGCTGGTACTTCTAATTAACTTTTGTCTTCGGTGCCCCAGTTACCTTTTCTTCAATTAGATACCAGTTTCAGAAGTATTTGATCTTTCAGAGATAATAGGGCTGTAATCCACACCGGCATACTAGCCCAAGCTTAAAGTATCACTAAACATAATTCAGACTTGTACTGGTGGACAACAGGAAGATAGGGACAATACTGAGTAGGACTTAAGGCTTATTATGAAGTGAAAATGTGCCACTAGACTTAAACTTATGTTAAGAAAAATATTTATTCGTCTTACAGTACTGTGTTATATGCACCTTAACCCCAGGGTCATGAGTTTGAGCCTCACATTGGGTGCCAGCCAGCCAACCAGCAACCAAGCCCCATGCAGCCACTCAGTCCCCCACCAGTGGGATTCAGGAGAGAATCAGAAGGGTACAAGCTAGAAAACTTGTGGGTTGAAATAAAGACAGTTTGATAGGGAAAACAAAAGCTGTGCAAAACAAGGAACTCATTCACTGTTTCCCATGGGCAGACAGGTGTTCAGCCATTTCCAGGAGAGCAGGGCCCTATCACATGTAACAGTTACTTGGGAAGACAAATGCCATCACTCCAAATGTTCCCCTCCTTCTTCCCCTGTGATGGTTTTAGTCTAGGCCTTCCTTGGTGACCAGTTTGTAACCAAGGAAGGAGCCAAGTACCCAGTATTCCACACAATTTTTACGTAAACCAGAGTAAAAATAAGTCGGAGATTAGAGACCTCGCTCTCTTCTCTTCCGACGAGGTCTGGGAACAGTGGGTCCCTGCGTTGGTCTCGCTTATCTAAGGCTGAGGCCTGCAGAGTCCACCGTCCTACCACGTGGAGGTTTGGAGAGTGCTGGCTGTGACTGCCGATCCTGCTGTTCTAAGGGACGTGGTGAGATCTGTTTTGTTAGTTATTAGTATAGTTTGATCTAGTATACCTATTCAGTGTCCCTTTTGTTCCCTTTTGTCCCCTTTTTTCCCTTTCCCTATCCCTGCGGGGGGTGGACCCCCTTTTACTGTGTATATAGCATCTTAACTGTATATAACTGTAATTTGCGTAAATATAGATATATTTTTATATAAGCAGCTTGACTGTGGGTTCTTTAATTTTTATAGTTTCTTTCTCCTTTAACCTAAGGGAAGAAAGGAGGGGGGAAGGGAGCTGCTGTCCTAACTTTCGGGCATTTGGCAGGGAGCCAAGTCCAAACCGTCACATCCCCCCACTTTATATACTGAGCAGGATGTGATATGGTCTGGAATATCCCTTTGCTTAGTCACCTGTCCTGTCTGTGTCTCCTCCCAACTTCCCATGTATCCCCAAATTCCTTGCCAGCGTGGCAATACAAAAAGCAGAAAAGGCCTTGGCTCTGTATAACAACAAAAACATCTCTTATATTATCATCACTGTATTCAGCACAAATCCAAAACAGAGCCCCATACTAGCCACTGGGAAGAAAGTTAACTCTACCTCAGCCAAAACCAGCACAGCACCCCATGTTAAAATGTTTGAGGAATGAAAGTAATCATAGTTTTATCATAGGATGGATGTACATATACTGTAGTGGTAAAAACGCCAAATGCTTTTTCTGTGAATTTTATGCCCATGCTAACTTGAGTTGCATCACATCTTAAAGGATGTCTTTTTAGCAAAAGGGATTTCAGTGAATAGGATTGAGCTGCATGGTGCTGATTCTCCTTTGTTCGATCTGTGTTAGTCTTAAATGCTATCTTAAACATGCTGTTCTAGGGTATTTACACAAGAAGTCTCCATTAAGTTACTGCTGTTTATAAAAAGATTTTGATATAGACTTATTTTCAAATCGTTGAGGTCTCACTCTCAAAGGACATATGTCAACATTAGAAAGGCAATAAGGAGCTCTGAGTTTGTTAACATGGGCTGTATGCCAGTATTGCAGTTGACTAACAATGGGGAGACAGAGGAGGTGGTGGTAACTGGGAAGGAAAGGTGCCACACAAATCAGAGGAGTCTGTCATTTTTAGGAGGGAAGTCTGCCAACTAGTTTAAATTTGCAGCAGGCTCATGTCTTCAGGAACTGAGCATTAAGGGAAGATTTTCTGTTAATGGTATAGTCCTTTGTTGTAACCTCAAAATAGATTGATGGTTGTAGGCTTAACTCCAGGGTGTTAAATTATGTGTAAAATTTTGTCTGCTACTTAAATGCAACAATAGTAGGTTAACATTTAGTTACATTATTGGTACCTAGGAAAGTGAAGTAGTAGCTTAAGGCAGGAAATATAGAATGTTTTAAGAAATAAATACAATTTTCCATACTAATGAAGTTTTTTTTCTTCTATAGAGGACTTGCCGATTTTAGCTTTTTTACAGCCTCATGTACCAATATATGCTGGGGCTACCCAGCTGGAAAGCAGCTTGCTGGAAAAGGCCATGGGGGGTCCTGGTGAATGCCAAGCTGAACTTGAGCCAACAATGTGCCCTTGTAGCAAAGAAGACGAATTGTATCCTGGACTGCATTAAACAATGTATTGCCAGCAGGTCAAGAGCTGATCCTTCCTCTCTAACCCAGCACTGGTGAGGCCACACCTGGAGTCTTGTGTCCAATTCTGGGCTCCCCAGTGCAAGATAGACATGAACATACTGGAGAGAGTCCAATTAAAGGCCACAAAGATGATGGACTGGAGCCTCTTGCCTATTAAAAAAGGCTGAGAGAAAGAGCTGGGATTGTTTAGCCTAGAGATAAGAAGACTCATAGGGGATCTTATTAATGTATATAAATACTTAAAGGAAGAGTGCAAAGAGGACAGAGCCAGACTCTTGTTAGTGGTGCCCAGTTGACAGGACCGGAGGCAATGGGCACAAACCGAAATGCAGGAGGTTCCTTCTGGACATCAGAAAACACTTTTTAAGCTTTGAGGGTGAGTGAGCACTGGCACAGGTTGCCCAGGGAGTTTGTGGAGTCTCCCTCCTTGGAGATATTCAAATAGCAGTCTGGACATGGACATCTGACTCTTGGTGGCCCCCCTCTTCAAACCACAGCCATTCTTTGAATCTGTGATTTTGACGG